TGGTGCTGAGGATTGAACCCAGTGCCTCACTTGTGCTAGGCAAATACTTTGTTACTGAACTACAACCCAGCCCCCTAGGAAGTTTGCAATGATAAAACATTAATAAATGTTGTCAAATAACTACCATAATATGTGGTATAAATAATATCATAGTCTAGCAAATATATACAGAACAATTAATTAGCCTGCATATGAAAATTTATAAAGTATGTGCAAATAGAATTTGAGCCTAAGTCAATTTGATCATAAAGTTTGTGGTTTGTTTGCTGTATTGGGGGAAGTTCATAGAAGGATAATCTAAGAATATCTATTTGTCTGTTACTAAATTGCTTCAGAGGTGAATTTGGCTTATCCTAAGTGTCTATAAAGGTAGATTTTTTTTTTGCAACAAACATATACTTTCACTCTTATAAAACCATGATTCAATTTTAAGGTGCAAAAGCTGTCATAGTAGCTTATGTAATAATGACAATGTGACCATTTTAACCAAGGTATCACACTTGCTAAAAGTAACTTGTCAACTTTCTCCATTATTTAGCATAATATTTGTTGAGCACATCATGTGTGCTAGATGGTCTGCTGAATGCTTTAAAAGAGTCATCTCATTTTAACAGTAATAATGCTGTGAAGCAGAAGTTATTACCATTCCTATTTTACAGAATAGGCATCTGAGATATAAAAATGGGTCTATACACACTGCTCAGGTTCACATAGGATCACATGTGGCCACTGGTAGAGCCAAGATCAAACTGTTTTTCCCAGTGCTTTCTCATCTATCCATAGCCTGCATATCTGTCTGGCATTTACTGTGTTTTAGATTCTCTGCTAGGAACTAAGGTCAATAGGAATTACTATGGAATTACTAATTACAAGAAGGCTTTAATTTAATGAAAGAAAATGAATTTTATAAACAAATAGATGCAATAGACTATAGTAAAATTTCATTCCTGATTACAGGAGGCTGGACAGGGTATAGACTCTGCCCCACTTCCCCAATGGACGATTCTCTATTCCAGAGGGAGGGACTTTGTGTATGATGGGAAGTGTTCACACTTGAAGAATAAGTAGACAGCTACCATGAGGTCAGAGGACATTTCTGACAAGGGAAAATAACCTATTCCTATGAAGGGACAGAAGACAGAAATGGGAAGTAGGAAATATTGTACATTTGGCAGATCAGTCTGGAGAAGAAAACACATTTATGGGACAGTAAGAATGATGTGCAAAGAGATCACAGAGGTTTTCTAATGTCATAGTCAGAACATTCTTTGCAATACTGGCTTAACCTGGACTAGTATTAAACACTTGGAATTTCACGGTCTGTGGCAGAAGGATTGCTAGCACTGTCTATGTGAAGACCCACACTGAAGGCCTGTGTGATAAGTCTTGTCCAAAAACAGATGCCCAATCAAACCAACAATTTAAGGAGGAATTTTAAAGAGACACAAAATTGTGACCGGAATATGAGGAAAGTATAAGTACAAAGCATAGGCTGGACTTTGACCATAGATTCTTAATACAGGAATGCCCAGGGGAGATGGCTGAATAGCAGTTAATGGAACACACACACACACACACACACACACACACACACACACACACA